ATACATAAAGGTTGAATAAAATAATAATAAAACTGCAGATGCTACACCAATCTGTCTGTCAATCTCATGATCCATTCTTCCCTCACTTGTAAAGAAAACCCTAAAATACTTGAACTCCTCCACTTGAGGCAGAACCCCACTCTCGACACAAAGAGAGCAATCCACCCTTTTCTGAATGTGAATTATGGCTTCAGATTTGGAGGTGCTGATTCTAATCCCAGCCACTTCACACTTGGCTGTGAACCGCTCCAGCGTGAGCTGAATTTCACTGCATGATTACCCCTACAGGACCACATCATCTGCAAGAAGCAGAGAAGAAATCCTGAGGCCACCAAACTGAACTCCCTCAACCTCGTGGCTTCACCGAGAAATTCTGTCCATATAAGTTATGAACAGAATTGGTAACAACCGACAGCCCTGGCAGAGTCCAACTGCCACCCCGAAGGGGTCCGACTTACTGCCAGCAATGCAAACCAAACTCTTGCACCATTTGTATAGGGACCGATCAGCCCATAGCAACGGCCCCCAATCCCATGCTCAAAGAGCACTGCCCATTGTGTACTTTGAGAAACACAGTCGAACGCCTTCTCCAAGTCCAAAAACACATGTAAACAGGATGGGCAAAATCCCAAGTCCCCTCAAGGACCCTAGTGAGGGTAAAGAGCTGGTCCATTGTCCCACGACCAGGACATAACCCTCATTGTTCCTACTGAATCCGAGGTCAAACAACTATCAGACTCGTTTTTCCTGTATCCCTGAATTTGTTGAAGAAAAATATTCTCGCTTTATCGTACTTACTCAAAAAGAGCCACACTCGGTGGCAGGAGAAGATTTTTTTTACTTAAAAGGACACAGATATACAGGAAGTACACATATGAAGCCCAGTCACAAGAATCTGCCATGAGCAGTGTGTGAATCTTGTTTTTATATGCTTATTATTTCAGCTGAGCTCACAGACACGGAGGCATCCTTGGAGTTACAGCTGCATGTAGCAGCCTCACCCAGCTCCCCATTTAGCTTTTTACAAACCAAAACATATGGTTCATGGGCAGAGTTAACATTCTCAGCCATAGCATTTAAGGACTCCAAGAAAGCCAGATATGCTGACTTGCTGTTTGGCGCATAGGCACAAACAACCGTCAAAGCCCATACCCCCACCCAAAAGCGTGGGGAAGCTATCCTCTCATCTACCGAAGAAAACTTCAACACACAGGTACCAAGTTGGGGGGCTAAGAGTAGACCCTCACCAGCTCAGCAAACCATGGGCAACCATGGATCACCATTGGCAGCTGTGGCTGAGTGGTTAGAGCAGTCGTCCTCCAATGCAAGTGTTGGAGGTTCGATTCCACCAGCAGTCACATGCCAAATTGTCCCTGGATAAGACACCGAACCCCTCATTGCCTTTGATGTGTGTCCCATTGTTATATGAATGTGATAAAGCACTGATTATTCTTTGTACATAAATAGTTGAGGGTTGTATGAATGGGTAAATTAGGGCACAGATTGTAGTGTAAGCACTTTGATAATCTTCATAAAATAGAAAAGTGCTATATGAGTAGAGTCCATTTATCTTTTACCATGGACAACTCCAGAATGAAATAAGGTCCAGCCTCTCTCAAGGAGATTGGTTCTGGAGCCCATGCTGTGCATTGAGGTGAGCCCAACTATATCTAGTCAGTACATCTCAATCTCATGCACAAGCTCAGGATCCTTCCCTGCCAAAGAGGTTATATTTCATGTTCCAAGAGCCAGCTTTGGTAATCCCGGGTTAGTGTGCCAAGACCCCCCCAGCCAGCCACTGCTCATGGAGTCATGCATTTGACTTGTATGACTTGTATGGCATGCCCTGCAGGTGGTGGGCCCATAGGATGGCATACCCATGTTTCTTGCTCGGGCTGAACCCGACTTGGCCCCATGGGAATCTCCTTGGAGCCGACAGAGAGACTTTATCCAAGGCCTCACCAAACTCCTCCCACATCTGAGCTTTTCCCTCTGCAACAGGTAAGAATGCAGACTGCTTATCCCTCGAGTACTCCTCAGCTGCCTCCGAGGAGTGTGATAGGACTGATGGAGCTGATGTGGCTCAGCCAGCTGAGACCGTATCACCAGGTGGTTGCAGATGAGCCCTCCTCCTGGCCTGGCTCCAGGGTAGGGCACTGGTAATCCACATTTGGGCAAGAGACACTGAGCTCCTTGCTTTTTTTTTTTTTTGTCCATAAGAGTCTTCAAAATCATTAGTTGTCTAGCCTGTCACCTTGGACCATTCTGCTTTGGGAGACCCTACCAGGGGCAAAGTATAGTTCCTAGGATCATTCGGGCACACACACCTCTACACCACGATAAGGTGGCAATTCAAGTCGGATTCCTTTTGCTACTTGTTTCTCATTATATTTAATTGTTTTTATGCTTTTATTCATGTTGCTGTAATATGTTGTTATTAATATTTGATGCTGTGATCTTTTTTGGTAAGCACTTTGATAACAGTTACTGTTTTAAATGTGCTATATACATAAATGTGACTTGACTTGACTTGTTACTACAATTTTCAATGTTCTGCTTCTTTTAGCTTTTAGCGTTGAGCTGTTTCACACTTTTCAGTAAATTTCAGCAAAGTCATTCAGCACTCAGCATTCATTCTGCACATTTACAAAAAATAAAGTATTTTCTATAATGTTTAAGTGGTGTACAATTTTTTCATAATTTGATCAAAATTTACCTAAAAGGTATGACGAGATATATGTTTTAGGCACTTGAGTGTATTTTGTTATAGCCTCAAATAATCTTTCAGATTACTATCCTGATGCATGCTCAATAATCCAGGTAGAAAAGTCCAAAAGAGTTCAATCTGGTCCTCTGGATATTATTAAAAAACAAAAAACAAAACAAAGCAAAAAAATGTAGAAACGTTTGTCTCTCATCCGAAAGACTTCCTCAGTCTGATGTAGTGAACTAGGCCTCCGACCTTGTCCTGCCTCTGAAGACCTTCATGGGACAGGAACTGTTATTTCATTGATTTGAATCCAGAAATACAAACTAGTTCATCCAGAGACTTTCTAATTGTATCCTGAAGTAATCAATTGAAAGAACACTCTCTTTTTTATATTATCATCACTATTTTACAATATCTTGATAATCAAAAGTGTGTTTAGTTCATACCATTTCTAAATGTTGAAGTGAACCACTCATTTTAAGTCAACTGTGAAACAGTATTAATGATTTTTTAATCCTCATTCAAATTAGAAATCAAGTTAAATGTCTATTTTACAAAGTATTTATGCATTTTTTGATCTTCTGTCTGAAATGAGAAGAGTGATGTCGGTCAAAAGTCGGAGACAGTCAAAAACAAGTTGTTAGAACGGGCTGTCGTGTTTTTAAAGCTCTCAGACAGTAAATAAGAAAACTGGCACCTGCAGTGTTTTTCACTTCACCAAAACATTTCTCTCTGTTCCTAAACATTTCTGCTGTTTTCTTGACTTGTAAAAACCCTTTGACGTCACTAGAACCACACCCCTGTTGGTTGCTTCAACCAATCAGGACTTACTAAAAGTGACCGGAAGCAGAACTCTTTAAAAGTTGACACTTCCTGGAACTGTCAGTTCCTCTGAGTCTTTTCAGTTCTTCTGAGTCTCTTCTGAGTCTTTTCAATGTCTGCTCAGTCTTCTGACTTCTTCTCAGTCTTTTCTGAGTCTGTGGAGTAATGGCTGAGGTCTTCTGAAGTTCTTCTGAGTCTTTCTGGAGTACTGTGGAGTAGTTCTGGAGTTTTTCCACTGCTGAGTCAGACTCAGTTTTCCAGGCTGATGGAGTCATCCATCTCTGCAGGAGTCACGGCGCCTCGCTGTGGCTCCACCAGGCGAATGTCCTATAACTGCTGAGGAAGTTTGTTCTGTAGGACGGAGTATCTCACGACTTCTGCCGAGTCGCAGCCGCCCTGAGGAGACGCTGAAAGGTAGCGTGCCAGGGACCTCTTGACCGCAGCTGACCCATCCTCCGCCAAGGTAAAGAGTCGTCACGAGCTTCACTACAAGTGTACCATGGCGAGCTGCGCTTGAAAGAAGCGTGTTGTTCTGGTCTACCGACATACATCTTCCTCCATATATTTCCTTTAAACTCCTCCATAATTTCTCATCTTTAAACTTCTATCTTGCCAATAATTAATCCAGATGCCTTCAGAAATGTCTGTTGTTTTTATTAAGTAAAACGTGCCAAGTTTTATTAATCAGAACCAGATCAGTCTAATCAAGTGTACAATGTTTTGAAGTTAAATTTTGATTCTGTTAATAAATGACCACATTTATTTTGATGGGTCAAAGAAAATTAACGTCTCATGTCACTGATTAAACCATATACGCACAGTACCTCTGTCACATATCTCTAAAGTAGCTCAAAAAAGAGAGAACCTGTTAATTTAAAATATGACTGTAGTGGAGCTCTGAAGCTAATCGAGCCTTTTAGCACACTACACTGAGGTGCTGTTTTCAGCTCAGTCTCTTAAATAGCACCTTCACAGAGTGGATCAACCAGTTTGCTGCTGACAACCAGAACCAGCTACTCACATGGTCAACATTGTTAGGCTGATGGTCCTTCTTGAGCATGTGATCAGCTGGTTCTGGTTGTCAGCAGCAAACTGGTTGATCCACTCTGAGAAGGTGCTGTTTAAGAGACTGAGCTGAATACAGCACCTCAGACTGAGGAAGTCTCTCGGATGAGAGACGAAACGTTTCTATCTTTTTTTTTTGCTTTTTTTTTTTTTTTGTTTGTTTGTTTTGAATGTCCAGAGGACCAGATTGAACTTTTTGGGGGCTTTCAGATTACTGAGTGACTGATATCAGCTCTTTTTATTGATGCCTACAATTTCGTTTTGAAAAATGCAGAAATATGCGTTTGATTCATTTCACTGCTGATTTGGGAAGCATTTAACTTCTTTATGTTTATTTTAAAAGACTCTTTGCCAAAGCAGCAAACATATATTTTTTTTAAATATATTTTTGGTTTCTCCTCAGTGGTGAGTTTTGTGATGTGGCCCCTCCTCCTCAGACACCCTGCCAGCTGGCTCAGTGTCAGAATGGCGCCCCCTGCGAAGAGAAGCTGGGGATTGCAGTCTGTCAGTGCCCATCAGGTTTTGAAGGGCAAAAATGTGAGAAGCTGGTCAGCGTCAACTTTGTTGATAAAGATTCCTATGTTCAGCTTCAAGACATCAAAAACTGGCCTCAGACTAACATCACACTGCAGGTGAGTAAAAGCACATGTGGCTTATAAAATCATTAAGTAAATGGAATGGTAAATGGACTGTACTTAATTAACACCTTTTATCTAATCAAGATACTCAAAGCACTTTAAAACACAATCTGTGACCTCATTTACCTCCACAGCACTCATTCATACAGCACTCCACTAGATCTCTGCAAAGCTAATCGAATAAATCCTTCAATAAAGACTAATCAGAGCTTTATCACATTCATACACAAATGGGACACACATCAGAGACAATGAGGGGTTCAGTGCCTTGCCCAGGGACACTTCAGCATGTGACTGTTGGTGGAATCAAACTCCCAACTCTCCCATTGGAGGACGACTGCTCTAACCACTCAGCCACAGCTGCTCCCCAAGTCTTAGCTGGAGCAGTTGCTCCTAAATGCAGATGATGGTGTATGCTTTTATGACTCACCTCTGAAAGGTGTAAGTGGAATATTACACTTTTGACTGTGTCTGTGCGTTTGTGTGTGTTTGTGTGTGTCTTCTATCAAAAAATCGTGTGAACCGCTAAAGAGATTTTAATGAAATTTTCAGTAATCACTGGCTTACTTGGGGGCTTCATCTTGACGAGTGTTTAATTTTTTAAGCCAACCTGACTCAAACCAGCGCACAACTGATCAGCCTTAGCCAACACATAAATGGCTGTGTCATTGTCAATTTGACAGACATAAAGTTTAATTTTGATTGTGGGAAATGTGGAGAGCCATTTGTTGTTAATGAGATTGTGCCAAATAGCTCTATTTTGGAACACCCACCATTCTTTCATGTTACATATCCAATATGATATAGATCTATCCATCCATCCATTATCTTTACCCGCTACTTCCTTTTTGGGTCACGTGGATCACTGGTGCCTATATCCAGCAGTCACTGTGTGAGAGGGTGGGACACCCTGTTCAGGTCGCAATTCCATCACAGGGTATGATAGAGATATAAAAAATTAATACGGTACCTATGTTCTGTAGCAAACATAGTTTTTGTGAGATTTCAAACTGTTTCAGTTACAGCTTTGGAAACAGCCTTTCACTTTCATATATGGGATGGGACCAGGGACCCAATCATGCAAGACTGCCAGATTTCTTTGGACAAAGTTAGAGTAAATTGTTTCCTTCTTATATCTGGCAAAAACATTTGTGGCAGGAACAACATGCTGAATCAGTGTGTTGCACAGTTCTGTGGGAGCCATAGATAAAGGGAGAGAGTTAGCACCCATTCTTTCCTGAAAATCTAATTAATTTGCAAGAAATGGGTGAAGTTTGTCAAAGTCAGATGGTCAGACTTCATGGCACCATTGCTGAATGATGTTGTGTTCCATACACTTTCGATCTGAGGATTACGAGTTGGCAATGATGCAGGGATTTGGAATTAAAGGAAAGTTTAATACCAGACCGCGAAAAGAAGCTGTGCCAACTATTCTACCTGGATTATTGAGCATGCATCAGGATATTCACACAGATCCACTGTGCACAGGAACTGAGATACTTGGAGGATCAGGCACTGACAGACCGACAGTTTTGAGGAAAGAGGAAGGTTTGCAGTTAAGACACTTGGAATAAAAATGTACAGACTTCAAACTATAAAGGACTTTGATGAGGAAGTGAGAGATTCACTATTTGTTTTAGCAGAGCAAAGAAAGAATAGAATAGAATAGAATTCAACTTTACTGTCATTGCCTAAAAAAGTTAAATCTGGTCCTCTGGACATTTGAAAAACAAATGTCAAGTTATGAATATCCAGAGGACCAGATTTAACTTTTTTAGATTTTTCTACCTGGATTATTGAGCATGCATAAGGATATTTACTGTCATTGAACATGTCACAAGTACAGAGCAACAAAATGAAGTTTGCATCCATCCAGAAGTGCTTAGCAAAAATATAAGTATATATATATTACAATAGTAAGTTGTTTTGAAATATAATATATACAGGTTATGAGTGTACAGACTATGAACAGGTTATAAATATAACTATATAAAAGAAAAATATACATATAAGTATGTGAGTACTTATGAACAGTAGGTAGTAGATTATATGTACAGTATGTACAGTAGTGGGCTAACAGATGAAAGTGCAGGTGGTGGTGTTTCAGTCCATGTGCTGCTGTTGTGTGTATGAGAATACAGACCGTGGTTGTTGTTCAGATGCCAGGAGGCAGATTTCAGGAGTGTGACAGCTGTGGGGAAGAAGCTGTTCCAGTACCTGGTGGTCTTAGTCCGGAGACTCCTGTAGCACCTCCAAGAGGGCAGGAGGGTGAAGAGTCTGTGTGCTGGGTGGCTAAAGTCTTTTATGATTTTCCCAGCCCTTTTCAGACACCGCTTCCTGTAGATGTCCTCTATGGCAGGAAGTGGTGCTCCGATGATGCGTTGGGCAGTAAACAGGATGTCTGAGGACAGGTGGTTTTTCCTCAGAGTTCTCAGAAAAAATAAAGGCGCTGGTGAGCCTTCTTGATCAGCTTGGAACAGCCGGTTGTTCTGGTGAGATCCTCTGAGATGTGGACACCCAAGAACTTGAAGTTGTTCACACGCTCCACCACCACCCCTTGATATAAATGGGTAGATGTGGGTCAGCGTTCCTCCTGAAGTCCACGATGAGCTCCTTAGTCTTCTCAGCATTGAGCAGCAGGTTTTTGGTGTCACACCACTCAGCCAGACAAACCACCTCCTCCCTATAATCGGTCTCATTGTTGTCTTTGATGAGGCCGATCACCTTGGTGTTATCTACAAACTTAATGAAGGTATTGGAACAATTGACATGCTTGCAGTCATGGCTGAGGAGGGAGTAGAGGAAGGGACTCATAACATAGCCTTGTGGTACACCGGTGTTTATAGTGATGGTAGATGGGCAGTGGTTATCCAGCTGGCCATGTTGGGGTCAATTCGTCAGAAAGTCCAGTAACCAGTTGCACACAAGGGAACTGATGCCTAAGTCTGTGAGTTTTGTGATGAGTTTTGAGGGGATGACTGTGTTGAATGCTGAACTGACATTTATGAACAGCATCTGGGCAGAGGTGTTTTTATTGTCCAAGTGTGGGAGGACAGAGTGCATCGCTATGGAGACTGCATCCTCTGTGCTCCTGTTCTGGTGGTTTGCAAATTGGTGGAGGTCCGGGGGGGGGGGGGGGGGGGGAGAGACAGGATTTGAGGTGTACTAGAACCAGCTGCTCAAAACACTTTGTAGTGATGGAGATGAGGGCTACCAGAAGGTAGTTGTTGAGTTTTGATGGTTTGGAGTTTTTGGGTATCGGGACGATGGAGGTGGTTTTGAAGCAGGTTGGTACCACAGCACGGGCCAAGGACAGGTTGAATATGTCCGTCAGTACTCCTGCCAGCTCCTCAAAACATGCTCTAAGAATACGTCCAGGGATGCCATCAGGACCCGCAGCCTTATGGACTTTAATCTTGCTCAGCGCTGCTCCTACATTGGTGGGGAAGAGTCAGTGGTTGGTGGTCTGGAGACACATCTACCTTGGTTGCAGTTGTTGGGTTCCCTCTCTCAAAACGAGCATAAAAATTGTTGAGCTTGTTGAGGAAGGATACATCAGAGGAGACGGGGAAGGGGTTGATGGACCTGTAGTCTGTCATGATCTGGAGTCCTTGCCACATACGTCTGGGGTTGGAGTTGGAGAAGTGTTCTTCTATCCTCCCCTTGTAGTGGTGTTTGGCCTTTTTGATGCCCCTCTTCAGCTCAGCCCTGGCTGTACTGTAGGCCTGTGCATCCCCTGACCTGAAGGCGATGTTGCGGGCCTTCAGCAAGAGACGGACATCACAATTCATCCAAAGCTTCTGGTTGGGGTACATGGTGATCTGTTTCTGGGTGGTGACACTATCTATGGTGGTGGAGATGTGATCCAGTACAAATCAGGCATACTGTTCCAAGTCTGTGTGAGCGAACATCTTCCAGATAGTGTTTTTGAGCCGGTCCTGTAGGACAGCGTCTGTCCCCTCTGGCCACATTTTCATTGTTCTCAAAGTGGGTTTCACACATTGGATGAATGGTGAGTATCGAGGGGTGAGGAAAAGGGAGAGATGGTCCGATTGTCCAATGTGGGGGTGTTGCTTTGTATGCTTCAGCCAGGTTGGAGTAAACATGGTCCAAAGTCTTGACCCCTATGGTGTGGCAGGAGACATGTTAGTGGAATCTGGGGAGGACTGTCTTCAAGTTGGAGTGGTTAAAGTCACCAGCAACAATAAAAGCAGCCTCAGGGTGTTTGGTCTGGTGTTTGCTAATGGCTACATAAAGTTTTTTAATAGCCAGCTTAGCATTAGCATACGGGAGGATATACACCGCAGTGAGTTTGATGGAAGTGAGTTCTCTGGGGAGATAATAAGGTCTGCATTTGACCATTATAAACTCCAAATTAGGTGAGCATTGTCTCTCGGTAGTAGCAGAGTCTGTGCACCAAGCGTTGTTAATATAAATGCACAAACCTCCACCTCTGGTCTTGCCTGAGTCTTCAGCTATCCTATTGGCTCGGTATGTGTGGCGTCCTGCTAACTCAATAGCATTGTCCGGACAGCTGTTGTTTAACCATGTTTCAGTGAAAAACATGATGTTTGAATCCATAATTCGTCTGTTGTTGGTGATGGAGAGACGTATTTAATCCATTTTGTTTGCCAGAGAATGGAAATTGGCAAGGAAAATGCTGGGTAAGGGCAGCCACTGGGGTGTAAGTTTTAGCTTTGCTCGTAGCCCTCTGTGCCTACCCCGCCTTTGTTTATGTTCTCAGCGCCACCTGCGTGTACTTCCGCCCGGCCGAGAAGAGTGAGCAGTCTCTGGTGTTCTGGAGAGCTCTGGGATGAGTAGGAGATTGGCGATAAAACTATCTAAGTTTTGAGTCCAAATGTCCAGAAGCTCCTTTCTGCTGTAAAATAGCAACACTGAGAAATTCTGGATGAATAGTCCAGTCAAAAGTAGATAGAAAATTGCTAAATAGCATGTTCTGGATACACGCTGAGCCTCGTGTTGTTCAACCGCTACCATCTTGGCCAGGGCAAAGGAAGAATACATCAAGAACTCCTCTGACAGCATGGCATGCCCACCATATCCCAACCCCCTGGGCCAACAGAACCAAGTCTCAGTTCTGAGCTCTGGAGAGCAGAGTAGGATGTTGATATCTACTGTAATTTCAAGCACATACCAGTCGGTGTTGTTCAAGCTGGGAAAGTCTTTCCTGTACCGATGAGTCTTCTTATGAATCTTTATGCCTTATTGCCTTTTTTGGCCATCATATTTATGGAACCAGCCTTCCTTGTTGAGGAACAATTTTACAACAAACAGTTCTACTTTCTTCTTCATTGCTTGCAGATAAGTTATAGATATATTCTAAACCACATCAACATCTTCCACTGAAATTGTCCTTGCTATAATATGCCTCCATCTGGGACACACACTCCTGCCTGTGCACTGTCCCTGGCGTGAGAGCGGCTGCAGATGTTATCAGTCCATTAAATGGCTGTTATTAGTTGTTATCATCCCCATATGTAGCTGTAAAACTGTCCCACCTACCTCCTAGTAGGTTTAAAGGTACGTTATTATCGTTATTATTGCTGATAATAGGCAGCGTCGCACAGGGGTAAACCAGGAAGTGTCTTTTTAGTTGTTTTCAGCTTATGTAACCCTTTTCCTAAACCTAATCCAGAGGACCAGATTTAACTTTTTTAGATTTTTCTACCTGGATTATTGAGCATGCATCAGGAGACCTTTTCCTAAACGTAAGCTTACACCTGACCCTGAGGACCAACCCTAAACTTAACCCCCTTACATTTGTGCCTAAACCTAACCAAGACCGTAAACCTAACCGCCAGACCCTTTACTCTAAGCCTAACCACGTGAAGCTATTATGAGCGCTAACAAAGCTAAAAATAGAGCATATTATCATCGTTAACAACATACCTTCAAACCCACTGGGAGGTACAGGAGGGGCAGTCTGACTGCTACATATGGAGATGATAACAACAAATAACGGCCATTTAATGGCTGATAACATCCGAAGCGGGTGGGCGTAATGTAATCAGCTTTCAGTATTCATCGACAGTGTGCTTGGGTGTTTCCATGAGTGCTTTGTTTGTTTAAGGTGGTTTTTTTGACACTTGCATGGCCCAAATGTGAAAAAACATATAACCACAATATTCTATGATAGTGAACGCATTTGGGATTATAATGGTGGATGTTTGACTTTAACTTAAGAAGATTTCAGTTTAAAACTTTTGCATGAACAGCTGTTGGTGACAAGCATTCCTTCAAGGCCTTTCATTTTATTTATTTTCATGTTTCAGGTGTCCACAGCAGAGGACAATGGCATCCTGCTGTATAATGGCGATGATGAGCCAATTGCTGTGGAGCTCCATCAGGGTCATGTTAGGGTCACATATGACCCTGGGAACCAACCTGCCACCACCATTTATAGGTAGCACACACATAAGCAGAAACAAGAACCCACTTCAGCAGTAGCAGTTCCAGAGCGTAAATGTTAGTGGGGTGAACATTTGTTTCATGAATCACTAACCATTCCAATCTTGCAATGTGTCACATGTTTAGCAGACTAAGACAGGCCATATGCTGCTTGATATTTATTTTGTTGCTTTATGTCCACAAACTTGTTTTTCCCCCTCCCCTGCAGGTCAGTGTTGTGTCTTATGAAAACTCGGCTGTTTAATATTAAATCAGAGAAACAGACACCTATACCCCACACCCACATCCACCCTATGCGAAAATAGACTATTTTAAATTTTAATTGTGTAAAGCAAAACTGACAAAAAGGTACGCAGCTTTCTGTATTGGATTTCTGATATGATTTGAAATAATAGTTCTTTAATAATGTTAAATGGAAGAAAAAAAATCTAAAAATTATCAAACTGAAAAAGTGGTGCTTGCATATTCATTTACCATTTTACTTTAAAACCCCAACCATTAGGTTCAGAATAGAATAGAATAGAAACAGCCTTTATTGAAGTCACATGATTAAGTAAATAAGGTCCACCAATGGGTGAGCCAAGTATAACTACAGACTCGAAAAAAAAAAGCCTACAATGTTGTTCCTGTGGCTGAGTGGTTAGAGCAGTCGTCCTCCAATGCAAGAGTTGGCGGTTTAATTCCACCAGCAGTCACATGCCGAAGTGTCCCTGGGCAAGACACTGAACCCCTCGTTGCCTCTGATGTGTGTCTCATCAGTGTCTGAATGTGATAAAGCTCCGATTAGTCTCTTTAGAATGATTTGTTCAATTATCTTTGTAGAGATCTAGTATAGAGCTGTATGAATGGGTCAATGAGGCACAGATTGTTGTAAAGAGCTTTGAGTGTCTTGATAAAATAGAAAGGCGCTATATAAGTACAGTCCATTTACCATATGTGTCTTCTAATTTTAGTTTTAAGAATACAGTTTTCAACAGCAAATATCCACTGATGGACACAGCAGGCTTTCCTCCATGCTGTTCCTGTATTAAATAAGATCAGGTCAGATCCAGTGTTAGTATAGTGGAAATATCAGTGAGCTAAAACCAGCAGAATGCATTGACGGGGCAGAATTATTATCACACCTGTGAGATATAACAATCTACTGGTGAGCATGGCCTGTCTCACTCCATAACTGTAAATAAGTTAAAAAAACTGAGTATGATCTGTTTCCCAGCAGGGTAACATTTGAGACATCAAAGTCCATGTTCCAATGGATAAAAAGAGAGCACAATCATTTCTTTTAACTTTTTTACTAAAAATACAGGTCCCTAAAACAACAAGTTTAAAAAGACAATGCAACAAAAAATTTCAAGGAACAACTGGACACGACACCAGTCAGAACCTGCATAAAGATGAACACAGCTTTTAGTTTAAAAGTTTCCCCACATTTCTTCAGTGGAAAATGTAGCAGAAAGCCAAACTTTGTAACTTCACAGGCTGCGATTAGGAGACTAAAAAAGTCTTTTTAATTTGTCAGCTCTGTGTGACTGGTTTTCAGCTGTAGTTAGATGGGAAACCTTGCAGAAGGTTCAAACAACCGTTTCAGTGTCAGCTAGCTTGAAGTACTCTTGGACTTTAGACACTTTCAGCCTTTCGAAACTTGTTTTGTCTTGACTGTTGCATCCTCAAACACTGTTTCGTCCTCCATGACAGTTTAATACTGAGCTCAGGTTGAGCCGAGTCTCACATTAATTAAGGAAAAGAAAGGAAAAAAGTTAAGTATTAAAGTAGGGAAATTAAAAGACAACTAACTAGTAAAAACATGGATGTCAACAAATTATTGCTATTAATAACGTCAACTATATTCACTGCAGCTCCTTGATGTTTTACAAACCGTGGTCTGCAGTTTTAAAACTCCACTGCATTGTGTTACATAACAAAATTAACTTCACACTCTGGAACGCAGCTCAATGGATTTAGAATGTAGTCAGTTCATGGAAACAGTTTAGTTTGCACATTGCAACAGAGCTTGAGTGTTTATCACAATGTCTGAAATCTTTCTGTCAGGGTTGTTTAATAGTTTTCCTGTTTACAGTTTGGTGTTTATATGAAATGCGTATGTTTCATCCCCTATGATCAGTGCTGAAACAGTAAATGATGGACATTTCCACACGGTTGAGCTGGTGACCTTTGATCGGATGGTAAACCTGTCAGTGGATGGAGGAGAGCCGACGAGCCTGGACAGTCACGGACGCAGCAAGTCAGCCACAGGGGAGGCCCCTCTTTATGTGGGAGGTATGACATAAGGAGCAGGAAGGGGGTAACATGCTGTGACTGGTCCAGAAATTCAGTTTGTCTGTCTGTCTAGGTATGCCTGAGGAGGTGATTCCATCCTCTGTTGGACTTCCCTCTCAGACGTTCAACACATCCAGTTTCCACGGCTGCATCAGAAATCTTTACATCAACCATGAGTTGCAGGATTTTACCCGCAGCCACATGAAACCAGGAGTAGTTCCAGGTTGTCAGCCCTGCCTCAAACTTTACTGCCTGCACGGCATATGCCAACCTATCACTGCACAGGTACAAACACAACGAATTACACTGCAGAGGTACAAACACAGTGACTTTGTCACAAAAGGCTGGTGGTGATTAACCCAGTGGTGCAGGCAAGCAGGCGAAGACTCAGGCCAATGAAAAATAAATAATTTATTAACAAAGCAAAAGAGCTGACAGAGCAGCAAAATAAAGAATCAGAGTAATAAGCTTTATTATCATTGCACAGAGACACAACGAGAACATGTGCGTACAGTCGTCCGAAAGATGGACGTAGTGCACAAAGCTGCTACTATAAAAAGTGTGGCCCTTTTATCCTTATTCAGAATAATATTTTTGCTTAGATGAGAAAAGTGGAGAAAAACATGAGGAGAGATGGTATAAAAAAAGATCTCTCACACTTTGTCCTAGACAGGGCACAATTTGAGGCATCAAAAAACTTACCACAGCATAGCATATAAATAGATGTGATACATTTACATATAGGCCGGTGAAGACATTGAATTTTAAGGGAAGGTTGTAGCAGAGTCCAGAGCCCCCCTTCTCATCCATTGTCCAGATAAGTGTAAGGATGGTACTTTTCTGTGGCCCGGTTTGTGTCTGTTTTCCTCGTGCTTCCTCATTAGTTTCCATTGTTGCCACCTGTGTCTCGTCCCAGCTGTTTGTCATCATGTCTCGTCTTCTCCCAGTATTTAAGCAGTCCTATTCTGTCTTGTCCTTTGTCGGGTCGTCTTCGTTGGTACTCTCCCTTGGGTCTTCTGAGTCTTGTCCTGAGTCTTGTCCTGAGTCTTGTCCTGAGTCTTTCCCTGAGTCTTCCTGGTCCCTCGAGTTCCCCGTGTCTCTCTTGTCGCCTGAGTTCCCCGTGCCTAGTTCATGTAAGTTTTGCTGCCCCGTCAGCTTGTTTATTTTGTACTTTTACCATTGCCTCCTTCCTTATTCATGTAAGTTTTGCTGCCCCGTCAGCTTGTTTATTTTGTACTTTTATTTACCATTAAAACATATTTTTGTATATCTGCCGAGTTGAGTCCCTGTTCTGCACTCTGGGTTCGCTCCTAACCGCAAACTACGACAATAAGAGGTGTTATTCATCATCAGCTCGGTTGAGATTCCGTCACATGTCCACGACCTTGGGGAAGGGAGGGGTGAGGAGACAGGCAAAGCATCTTTGTTTTTTTCAAAACATTCCAGGAGTTGAGATAAGTCCGCCGTCAAGGCCACAGTTTGGGTCAGGCAGAACTCATGAATTGCTTTTTCTGCCTTTTAAAATTTTCACTGTTACAGTTCTCTGATGGAAAATCCAAACAGCCAAATTGATTCCTTACGCCAAAAGTCGAGTTCATAGCTTTCTTCAAGATTATTCCCACCGTTCATGGTTGCTGCCAGAAAGTTCACAGTCCTGATAACAGTCTGTTCCAGCTTTCTGACACAGCTGCACATAATTCAGTCTGAGTGCTGCCAAGCTTCAACACATCCACACAAATTTGTAGACAATCCAGATTTCACCAAGCCAAACAGCAGAATTCTAGTTGTCATCATGAATCCAATTTGTTTCTGTCAAGGTAAGAGGGTCCTCCTTACTCTGACTCCTGTCGGGAGAAGTTGATCAATATTGTTGAGAGACCAGCTGATCAAATCCTTCGAATTAGGAAGGTATGCAGGAAAAAAAGTGTCTCTTTAAGGGTTCACAAGACAAAAGAGTGCAAGCAGGGAAGCGCCGGGTTGGGGGGGGGGGGGGGGGGGGGGTGGTAGGGCGGAAGGGGGGTTGTTGGACGGAGCACCGGGAGACATGTCTGACTTCACCGGAGCACAGACAGAAAAAAAAAAAAAACATGGATAAACAGGAGGTACTTACATAACAGACAGATCATCACCAGTGGACATAAGACAACATCAGGGACAAAACCACAAATCCTACAGTATCCCCACCCCATCACAGGGCATCTCCAGATGTCCAGGAGCCCACCTCTCAAAAACTTCAGTGGGAGGAGGGGGAAAACAGGCCAGAGGGCATGATGAAACACATAAGGGGAACCAATACAGGAAACACACACTAAGAACAAAACCAGAAAATAAAAAGTTCAGATGGTTTCTAGACCCAAAGCAGGCCATGTCCAAAACCCTGGAACAGGTCAGGCAAGGAGCCTGGTCTAGGCAAGGAGCTTAGATGAGGCAAAGGGCCAAGGCAAAGGAAGGACCAAGGTTTAACAGATCATATGATGAGTTTATGAATATTTTAGGAGCTATGTATGAAAAGAATTGTGTGCAAAATAATTATACAAAGAGAAATGTTGTTGACCAACCATGGATGACGAACGAGTTGACAAATGCTTGTAAAAAAAAAAATTTTTGTATACATGTTTCTTGAAATTGAGAACACAAGAGGCCGAAGAAAAATATAAGAAGTATAAAAATAAATTAGTAGGGATTATAAGGAAACACAAGAAGGAATATTATAGTGATTTATTAAATAAAAGTAATGGTGATATGAAAGCAACATGGCGAGTATCTAAAAAAGTTAAATCTGGTCCTCTGGACATTCAAAAAAACAAAACAAAGCAAAACAACAAAAAAATGTAGAAACTAAAGTTTAGTTGGCAGCTCAGAACACCACATACAGAACACCATGGACTTTGTGGACAAGGTGAGGGATGTCATCATGGAGACTGATGAAACAATGGTCTCTTTTGATGTCACATCACTCTTTACGTGCATTCCTGTTGATGATGCAGTAGAGGTGGTCAGTTTAAAATTAAAATCAGACACCACTCTGAGCAGCAGGACCACGCTTTCCACAGAACAACTGTGTCAACTCTTGAAACTGTGCCTGCTGTCAACCTACTTCACATATGGGGAGCAATATTATAGGCAGAAACATGGGTGTGCTATGGGGTCTCCAGTTTCTCCTATTGTTGCCAACCTGTACATGGAGGAGGTAGAAAAGAGAGCCTTGACGTCCTTTTCAGGGACACCACCAAGTCATTGGTTCAGGTATGTTGACGACACCTGGGTTAAAATCAAATCTCAGGAAGTCCAACATTTTACTGACCACATCAACTCTGTGGATAAATACATCAAGTTCACACGAGAAGAGGAAAAAACGGCAGGTTGGCTTTCTTGGACTGTGAGGTCTCAGTCTCTGATAGAGGACATTTGCAAACTGAGGAGTACCACAAACCCACCCACACAAACCAGTATTTGCAGTTTGACTCCCATCACCCTTTGGAGCACAAGTTAGGAGTCATCAGGACTCTGTACCACAGAGCAGACAGCGTCCCCACTAGCTCGGGAGCCAGGCAGAAGGAGAAATCCCACACAAGACAGGCTCTAGAGCAATGTGGATATCCTAACTGGGCCTTCCTGAAAGAAGAAACCCAAACAGGACTCCAGTCAGCCATCAGGTGAAAAGGAGGAACCCAGACCCAGACCAGTGGTCATTCCATATGTTGAGGGAGTATCAGAGAAACTGAGACAATTATTTTCTAAACATAACGTCCCAGTGGCTTTTAAACCCCAAAATACATTAAAGACTGGTTCATCCCAAAGATCCAGTCCCCCGGCACAAACAGAGTAATGTTGTGTATGTTGTTCAGTGTCAGGAGGGTGATCAGTCTTACATCGGGAAACTAAACAGCCACTGGCCAAAAGGATGGACCAGCACAGAAGATCAACATCATCAGGCCAGGACTCTGAGGTCTACACTCATCTCCAGGTCAGAGGTCACTCTTTCAGGGATGAAGATGTTCACATCCTGGACAGAGAGGAACGATGGTTTGAGAGAGGAGTAAAGGAGGCCATCTTTGTGAAAAGAAACCGTCCATCATTAAACAGGGGTGGAGCCTCCAGGTTCAACTGTCCCCCTCTTACAATGCTGTGATTGCTAGTATCACTCAGCCCTCTGTGAACAGTAAACAGCCATCAGGTGCTAATGATCCATTGTTAGGCTGATGGTCCTTCTTGAGCATGTGAGCAGCTGGTTTTGGTTGTCAGCAGCAAACTGGTTGATCCACTCTGAGAAGGTGCTATTTAAGAGACTGAGCTGAATACAGCACCTCAGACTGAGGAAGTCCTCAGGATGAGAGACGAAACGTTTCTACATTTTTTTGTTGTTTTGCTTTGTTTTGTTTTTTTGAATGTCCAGAGGACCAGATTTAACTTTTTTAGATTTTTCTACCTGGATTATTGAGCATGCATCAGGATAACATGGCGAGTAATACAAAGTGTTCTGAAAAGTCATAAAGCAAAAACAGGTATTTCACAATATTTTTTGAAGGATGACGATGAAATCCATGATGAAAATGAAATTGTAAATGGATTAAATCATCATTTTGTGAACGTTGGATCAAGCCTTGCAGCTAAAATACCAAAAGTAGACAATAATGTGAACCATTCAGTTATAAGTTGTGACAACAGTATTTTTCTTAATGGAACTGACAAAGAAGAAATAATGAATGTTGTAAAGAATCTTACAGATAAGAGATCAAAAGACTGGGTGGACATGGATATGATGTTTGTAAAGGACATACTGAGTTATGTTATCGAGCCGTTTACATATATTTGTAATTTATCATTTTCAAAAGGAATATTTCCAGACAATATGAAAGTAGCTAAGGTAGTTCCTCTCTTTAAAAATGGTGATAAATGTGTGTTCAATAATTACAGACCAATATCCTTATTACCACAGTTCTCAAAAATTCTAGAAAAACTGTTTGTGACCAGATTAGATAAATTTATTACTAAACAAAACATTCTAAGTAGCAGTCAGTATGGGTTTAGAGCAAAAAACTCTACATCAATGGCTCTCATGGAAATAATAGAACAAATAACTACTGCTGTCGATCAAAAACAGTATTGTGTTAGTATTTTTGTTGATTTAAAAAAAGCATTTGATACTATTGACCACACTATTCTCCTTGAAAAATTAAATAAATATGGTATAAGAGGACCAGCATTACACTGGGTATCTAGCTATTTAAAAGATAGGAAACAGTTTGTACAAATAAATGGTGTAACATCTGACCTGTGCAATATCACGTGTGGAGTTCCTCAAGGCTCTGTACTTGGACCAAAGTTATTTATTTTATATGTGAATGACTTAGTGAATGTATCAGGACTCCTTAAATGTGTCCTTTTTGCAGATGACACCACATTTTTTTGTTTGGGTAAAGATGTAAAACGGATGTTGGAATTGATGAAGACAGAATTTGATAAAATACAAACTTAGTTTAAAATTAATAAATTATCATTAAATTTAGATAAAACTAATTACATGATATTTATTAACAAAAAGAGAACTGTTGACGATCCATTTAAAATTTAGGGTGTTGAGATTTGTAGAGTTAATGAGATGAAATTTTTGGGTGTAATCATTGATGAACAGCTAACATGGAAAAATCACATCAATTCTGTAAGAACAAAAATATCTAAATCTATTGCAGTACTATACAAAGTCAGGGAATTATTAAATGATAAAGCTCTGTACATGTTGTATAACACAATCATTGTTCCACACTTAATCTATTGCATTGATATTTGGGGGAAAGCATGTAAAACTTTTACAAAACCTATTTTTATTTGACAGAAAAGAGCTGTAAGAATTATCACCAGAAAGCATTACAGTCACCCATCAAGCACATTATTTTATCAACTGAACTTATTGAAGTTCCATGATTTGGTAGATTACAGTATTTTATCAGTTATGTATAGGGCTCAAAATAACACATTACCATTAAATATCCAAAGAAATGTTGTTAAAAGACAAAGTTGTTATAATCTTAAGGGGATAGAGATATTTGTCAAACCAAAATTCAGAACTAGTCTGAAGGGAAGGTCTACCTCAATCCAAGGAGTTGGATTGTGGAATGGTCTAGAGAGTGATGTGAAAAATGTCAAGTCAATGTGAACATTTAAGAAAAAGATCAAAGAAAAAAGGAAAAAAAAAAAAAGAAAGAAAAAAAGGAGAAAAAAGTGAAAAAAGAAAAAGAGAAAAAAAGAGAAAAAAGAAAAAGATAAAAGCTGAATTGTTAAAAAAAATATATAAAGTAGCTTAATGTGTTTTCTGTATTAGAATTAGAAAAATTAAAGAGTTATTCATTTTGTTCTGTTACTTGAAAATTATTGTGATTGAACTAATTGTTTGAAAAAAGGGGCAGATATAATAAGATTTTTTTCTTCTTCTGCTGCCTTTCATTTTAAATCTCTTGTATTTTTTATATTGTTATGAATTTTTTTGTATTTTTTAAAATGAATAAACTTTATACCATACCAAGGTGAGGCGAAGGACTGAGGCAAAGGACCAAGGTGAAGCGTGTGACAACGGCAAAGTGTAGGACTGGCCTTTACTGAGACACAAGGAAGTGATGGGGCATCTAGTCCAACCTCCACAGAGACCCACAGAGGTGGGGCATTGGGACCAGCCCTCACAGGTACACAAGGAGGTGATGGGGCTTCTGGGCCACCCTCCACAGGGAAACTCAGGGATGGGGCATTGGTACCAACCCCCATGGAGACACAAGGAGGTGATGGACTTCTGGCCCAACCCCCACAGGGAATCTCAGGGGTGGGGCGTCAGTACCAGCCCCCCGGAGACACACGGAACTGATGAGTCTGGATCTAAGACTGAAACAGAGTCAGGCACTGGAACTGGGACAGAGTCAGGCACTGGGACAGAGCCTGACTGTGGAGCTGTGATTCTGGACCCTTTCTGCCGTCGACCTCTTCTATGTGGTTCAGGGCCAGGAGCGAACCAGAGCTCCTCTTTGGGCTCAGTCTCTCTCTCAGACATCCGGGGCGAGGACTCTGGTGACAGGATGTGGCGAGGATCTGATCCCTCGGTTGACTCAGGTAGTGGGCTAAGACTGGTGGAGGTTAAGGCACCAGATGGTCAGAGGAGCGACTCCAACCAGCTCTTTTCCTCCAGCACCTCGTCCAAGAACTCCTCCATACTATGGGAGTCAAACAGGCTAGGGAGACAGATATATTCAGTTAACATGTCCTCTGTGGCCACCCATCTTTAACCACAAATTACATGAGGTGGCCGTTTCCACATCCCTCTGGGTTTTTTGCAGAGCTGCAGATAGTCCTCATCAGAGGGTCCAGAAAGAAAATGCTTGCCTGCTGGGTTCATGCTTGGTCTTGGCATTCTGTTACAAAAGGCTGGTGCTGGTGAACCCAGTGGTACAGGCAAGCAGGCGAGGACTCAGGATAGTGAAAAATAAAGAATGTATTAACAAAACAAAAGAGCTGACAGGGCAGCAAAATAAACAGCGGGTACTTACATAACAGACAGATCATCACCAGTGGACATAAGACACAACACCAGGGACAAAGCCACAAATCCTACAAACTTACACTACACAGGTACAAACACAGTGTCTTACAATGCAGGACTCATGCAAGTTTTGCATGTCAGTAGACAACATTTCATGTCATGTATCTTTGTGTCTGATTGTGATGAAATATATTTTGTGTTTGTGTCTGGGTTTTGTTACCCTTTTAGAAATTGTTCAGGTTTACACACCTACCTTTTCAGGACCAATGTTTTTGGGGAGCCAAAGCTTGTTTCTCACATGTTCAAACTCATTTTTTGGATAATATGCATTTATGCTCAGCTTTTAATTCTTTTTTTTCTGCATTTTCATTTTACAAACAATTGGATAAAGAGATTACTTTTGGTCTCACAGGGTCCCCAGTGTCGCTGCCAGCCTGGTTGGACAGGACAACACTGTGACCAACCAATCACAGGAGGTCTTAGTGGAGTGGATGTTGTCACCACGGCAACTGGTGTCAACCCATGTGAGGGCAACAAGTGAGTGCAGTTCATTCTGATGCTACAAGAAATATTAGACCTTGACCATCAAGAACTTGAATGAGAACATGTTTCTTTTCTCGAAAGTTCTTCTTTATTCATTTTAAATATAACATGGTCCATATAGAGTTTATAAATCATACTCAGTATTTACGTGTTTCTTTCTCTGCATTTCTTTCAAGGTGTGCGAAGGGTGTATGTGTAGTGTTGGACACACAAACTTACAGGTGTGGTTGTGAGAAGGGATATGGAGGTGCGCTGTGTAATATCCATGAAGCGTCCACAGGTTCCTGCCGGGGGCTCCCCTGTCTGCATGGCCAGTGTCAGAAGACAGAGGATGGAGAGAGCTGCATCTGTGAGCAGGGGTACACCGGAGAGAGCTGTGATATAGGTGAGGAATCAGATCAAGGAGCGATTAGGAAGTTTAGACATTATTCCTCTTCAGACAGAGAATTTGCATAGAAGTGTCTTGGCTCGGGGGCAGCACGGTGGCACATTTGGTAGAGCTGCTGCCTCTCAGCGAGCAGGTCTTCCCGGTTCAAAACCCAGCCCAGGACCTTTCTGTGTGGAGTTTGCATGTTCTCTCCGTGCATGCATGGGTTTTCTCCGGGTGCTCCAGTTTCCTCCCACAGACCTAAAACATGCATGTTAGGCTGATTGGTAACTCTAAATTGTTCCTAGGTGTGCATGAGAGAATGAATGGTTGTTTGTCTCGTTTGTCTCCATGCATCCCTGTGATGGACTGGAGACCTGTCCAGGGTGGACCCCACCTCTCACACAGTAACTGCTGGACATGAGCAGCAGTGACCCCATTACCCAAAAAGGACGATGGAGGTAAAAGATAATGGATGGATGGATGTTTTGGCTCTGATAGATTTTAATCTGATGCATGCAGGGTAGAGAGCAAAAGAGCTGTAATGATAACTGGAAAGTTCTTGGAGAAACTTTGACGAGAACTGCCACATTGCAGCCATGTTAAATGTTTGATTTGACAGTACTATGTGTTGGGTTTGATCTCTACTAACATTACACCAAATTTCAGCTCAATATGGCAAAAAAAAAAAAAAAATTAAGTTAAACTATTTTTTTCTTTTAAGCTATGGTGGCCATCTTGGATTTTTGACTTGGTCCAATATGTTTTGGGTAACGTTCTTAGCTATAACCTCACCAAATTTCAGCTCGTTATGTGTAAAAGGAGCTGAGTTATTTAAATGTAGCTGTGGTGGCCATCTTGGATTTTTTTTACTTGAATACAGTGTTTTTTGGGCATTACTCTCAGCTACCAACACACCAAACTTGAGCTTAAAATCTCTAAAAATGACAGATATATAGTATTTTTTAGCTAAGGTGGCCATCTTGGATATTTGATTTGCAATCAGAGTTTTAGGGAATGTTGTCGGCTACTACACCAAATTTCAGCTAAATAACTCTAAAAACCTCTGAGTTGTATCCATTTGAAATTATCTTTTGCATCCATCTTGAATTTTTAGCTTTGAATTCAGAATGTGTTGTGCATCGCTGTCCGGTACCACCACACCAGATTTCAGCTCAATATGTTTTAAAATATCTGAGTTATCATATTTTTTTCCCTTTTAGCAAAGGCAGCCATCTTGAATGTTTAATTTACATCAGGAATATAAACAACTCTCAGCTATAACCATACCAAATGTCAGATCAATATCTCAAACCTCCTGCTCTGCTCTGATGGTAGTTTGAAATCATCTCCTGCAGAAAGGTAAACGTGAATGATACTGTTTATGCCTAGGTCCGTGTTTGTGCCATTGACTGTCTGTTCTGTTAGCAAAATATCTTACAAACCACTGAAAATAGCCATATCGGACGTATATCTACAACTAATTATCTTTTGGTGAAATGACTCAAGATGCCTGCCACAGCAAACAAAAATAAATGTAATTCAGTCAGTTTTACAGATATTGACCTAAAATTTGAATTGGTAGTAGCTAAGAATGTTCTCCGAAGCGCACTCTGAGTGCTAAAAATGTGCATAATCTTGAACATTTTCTAATTACCGGTAAGTTTTTGAAATTGACTCTGAATGTTTGTTAGCCAAGTATATTCAATATATATATAGTACAACAATAATAACAATAAACAATAATATTCGAGTATATTTTGAACTACTGGACAGATTTCAGTGAAACATTCAGGAAATACTCACTATAGTTGTTTGAAGCTAATAAAATTTAAGATGGTTGCCACAGCCAATTGGCATTACAAAACACATTTATGGCTAGAATTCAGTCAGTTTTACAAGTTTTGTGCTCAAATTTGGTACAGTTATAGCTGAAAGTAATTCACAATAAATACATCAAACACTACTCATTGCACAATATTTCTTAAAACTTTAGCAAAAAAAAAGGGTGGAGCCAATCATTTTTGTTTTTTAGCAAAATATCTCCTGATTTTAATGAAGCCTGGATGCACATCTACAACTGATTAACTTTTGAAATCACCAAATTTCAATACACAATTATAGTTATAGTCAATCTTCAGTTTCACAGATGATGAGCTACACTTTATAGATTTAGCATGATCATTCACGACACATATTCTTGAAAGTGACATTTTGCCATATTACATAATGTTATTTTTTAAGGGTTGACCAAAGCAGCTATTCATTTTTCAATATAATTTCATTTTAGTTTAAAACTTTGGTCTGACCAGTTAAGTTGAATCTGTGAAGTTGTATTTGAATATAAAGTGTGTACTTCCTGTACAAATTATTATAGTACTCTTCCTGCTGTGCAGAATATTATTTTCACAGTAGCTACATCATTGTTTAAGCCAAATAACATGTGGCTCTGGGGGACATGAGGCCACATGAGGAACCACATGTTGGTTCTTTTGCTGCTTTCACTGTAGGGAGGTAAGGGGCAGAAATGACTTGATTATAAAGGTTTCAATCTCCCAGTTTAAGAAAAGGACAACTGTGAGTGTAGTTCATTTTCAGTACCAGTATAATTCAATTCATCCATCCATTATCTTTTTACCCACTTCTGCCATTTTGGGTCACGGGGTCACTGGTGCCCATGTCCAGCAATCACTGTGCAAGGGGCGGGGTACACCCTGGACAGGTCTCCAGTCCATCACAGGGCCACATAGAGACAAATGAGACAAACAACCATTCACTCTCTCACTCACACCTAGAGACAATTTAGAGTTACCATCAGTCTAACATGCATGTTTTTGGTCTGTGAGAGGAAACCGGAGTACCCGGAGAAAACCCACGCATACATGGAGAAAACATGCAAACTCCACACAGAAAGGCCTCCGGACCGGGATTTGAAACGGGGACCTGCTCGCTGAGAGGCAGCAGCTCTACCAGTTGCGCCACCGTGCTGCCCCAATTCAATTCAATTCAGGTTTTTTTTATATAGCGCCAAATCACAACAAAGTTGTCTCAGGGCACTTTACAGAAACATTCACATACATAGAAAAGCCAATTAGTAAAGCTCTTTATCTAAGGAAGCAGCAGACAAGTTGAATCTTCTTTTTGTCACAGTCTCCTATCCTGAGCAAGCACAATGGCAACAGTGTAAAGGAAAAACTCCCTTTTAAAAGGAAGAAACCTCCAGCAGAACAATTCAATTCAATTCAAAAATACTTTATTAATCCCAGAGGGAAAGTAAATGGTGTTGTAACTCATCCTCCTGGTTTTATTAAAGAGTTGTTCTAGATGCTGATGGCTGTGGGCAGGAAGGATCTCTTGTAGCGTCTGTCCAACAACACATCTGAAGAAGCCTCTGACTGAAGACACTCTGTTGTTGTATGACAGTCTGATGAAGAGGATGCTGAGGGTTGGACTTGTTGGACCTGTTTCTCCTGAAATAAGACACAATGGTCCATGCTCTATTCGGCCTCTGCTCGACTGCCTGGCTGACATCAGGGACTGGATGGCTTTAAACTTCTTAAGTTTCAATGAAAAAAAGTCTGAAGTCATGTTGTTCCCTCCCAATGACACAATCACAAACCACTGCATCGACCTTTCCGCTCTAACCCTGTCAGAAAAACAAAGAGTCACTAATCTGGGAGTGATAATGGACCCTTCCCTGAAACTTAACAATCATGTAAACATGATTGTTAAATCATTTTTATTCCAACTGAGGCGGCTGTCTAAACTAGGGATGGGGCAGATCCGACCCAGTATCGGTATCGGCCTCCAACACCAGCATAATTTACGTATCCGATTTTCCGATCCTCCTGCCGATATTTCCGATCCATGATGCATGTTGGCTTCAAACTATGGAATGGATTTCCTGAACGGCAGCGTGTCTCATGAGCCCAGAGTAATAACATTCAGGAAATCCAGTTCATAGTTTGCAGCCAGCTACAACGTGAGGACTGAGTTAGCAGCACTGTGGCTAACAGCTAACAAACTTTTCATCTAAACATGTCCGCTGTGTGGAAGTATTTTACACTAGAAACACTACAAGACAGCATTGTGCACTGTCTGCAGAGCCATAGCGCCACATTAAACCGCAGTAAAGTTAGTTTTACTTTGGACGTTTGAGCTCCGTGGATTCAGCGGGGCGCTGCTCTTTGGTCAAACCGAAAGAGGCAACTCGACACCAGCCAGCCGCGTCCAATCTGCCCCGCTCAGTCTGCCCGTCTCCGAGGAGGGACAGACTGAGCGCAGCTGCCCCAAATCAGGCTGCCTGCTTCGGACTGAACAAGAAGAAGACGTCGCTGAAACCACGGAGCTCAAATGTTTACAGAGAAGTTGCTAAACTTCATCATAATTAATGACCGACCACTATCAGTTGTAGAAAACAAAGGATTTCTCAGCTTGATACGTGCAGTCAAAAAATAGTTTACCCTCCAGGAGAAATTTATCAGTACAACAGTAGACAATCGTAAAAAAAAGTGATTTGAAAATTATATATATTAAAAACATAAACAGCTACATTATAAAGTGATGTAAAATACTAAAAACAGGAACATGTCTATTGGTTTATACCATGAACTTAGCAGGTGTTTGAAGCCATTTAACATTTTATTTTATTTAATTCATTCATTTAAAAGAAACAAAATTAAAAACAAATCATCAAAAAGAAAACATTGAATGAAAAGAGTGTAGAAAGAAGAAAAAATTATTATATCTGCCCCTTATAAAATATAAAACAACTTTAAACAATCACTTAAATTAATCACTTTAATATCCACTTTAAAGCTAGGAATAAAAAGAAACATGTTCTATTTCGTATAGGCTTCACCCTTTAAGGCTGTCGCTTAGTAGGTTTATCCCGTTATGCGGAGCATTGCACTGAAAAATTTAGTCCACGCCCACCTGCTGTGTGGGCCCCACCCGGTCCGTATAAATTACGTTAAGAGCGGGAAATTGGCTCCCCATTTTTTTCTTCAGCGAGCTAA